TGTGGACCAAAAGTGAGAAGAGAGAAAGGGAATAACGATAAAAGTTTTAATTCGCAAAGTGCTTCGGCGTATCGTTAATTATAAGCAAACAGTGCCGGATTTGGTCTCGCAATTAAAACGGAAATGCCCGATGGATCCTATGAGCACCGCCGTCGTCACGACAACGACGACGTCGGCTCGTTCATTACGAGCTTCAATCTCCGACGTGCGACGTTCGGCGGGTCGTTAATAGCATAGACTCCTCCTGTCGATCGTCAAGAAAAATCGTCCCGCGCTGACAAAGACAACCCGAGTGCTCGGGAGTGCCGGGATTCTTTTTGCTAGTCAGCTTTCCTACGTTGCTACGCTGCAAGTTAATGCTTTGTCTTCGTCAAAGCCCTGCGAATGAAGCTTTAAAGTCGATGTACAGAGCGCTCATGAAGTTTAACGTGTTTCCTCTCGATTGCAGACTCATTGGCCAATTTACAATCGATATTTCTGTAGTGAAGAAGTTAAGTTGATGTAATCTATTTTCTAAAGAGTCTTCTATCTTACCAACGCGCATTTTTTTAAGGGTTTAAGAAATAAGAGTTTTAATGTAATAAAAAGAAAGTTTCTTATGTCACGATGATATGTGATACAATTAACTCATCAAGCCGTAAAGAAACATTTCATGTAGCAATTTTTAATATCTTTTTTTGTGTGATATTGCAGTTGATAATATAACCATTTCTCGATTACAGTGAGATATTTTAAAACAATGTTTCAAAAACATGTCACAATATCGATGTAACTTTAATGTACGTTGCACAACTTATATTTCAATAACAAATTCGAGAAAATGATTGTTGTAGAAAGGCAATTCAAGAGTCAATCAGTATCAAACAATTTATTGAAGCTGACATAAAAATGTAGATGCTTTTGAGATCATACAACACGTGACAAGAAGCATATTACACAATGTCTCTGTTATATAATAGGAATGGTAGCGTGTGCATTCCATTTAGCAGAAATACTATGGCTGAGTTTTGTCGTGGCATGACGCAATCTGAATCTTTTTCCTGTGATAAATGAGAAACTGCGACAAATGAATGTAATAAGTATACACGTGAGTACTAAAAATTTAATATGTAATATATAATATGGCGAAAAGAATGTTATTATAATGGATATTCTAAATGTGAAATTCTAAGTGTGTCGGATACGTATATCTGAGATATGTCATGAAAATTTTAGAATATAATAAAAAGAATATTTTAAAAGTATTACGATTCAAGTAACTAAGTTAACCTATTTATTATACATACAATTTTATATCGCTGGAAATTGTATTACTCATTCTAAAAAAGGCTTTGTTTGAAAAATGTCGAAAGTAGATCTCGTTTGTAGTCAGTGATGGAGAAATAACTATAAAAAGCATCGTAGGAATATTAGGGCTGTAGGGCTGTTCTATTTTATTATCTCAATGTAAGTTAAATTATTCTTAGTGTATTTAAAAAAATATTATTGCGACACTTTTAAAAGATTATTGGCATCTGGAGCGTAATAAACGTCCATTCTTTCATTTTTGTAGTAATTCTCAGGGATTTTTCGCGAGGTCATAGGTCTACTCCCGTAGATTCTGATTTCCCCGTGCTCGCTTCGTTTGGTCGCTTCCTCTCTCTCTCTCTCTTTCTCTCTCTCTCTCTCTTTCTCTAAATAAATCGCTCACCCTTTCGCTGAAAATATATTTCCCGTAGGCAGCTGCCGCCGTTTGTTACTTCGAGGGCACGATTGAAACGCAAAGTTTCACATTGGATGAGGGGTGGTGATATGGCCCGAGGTAACTGGCCGGGAAAAGAGATGGAGGGGATGTAGGGGATTACATTTCGCATTCATGGAATTCCATCGAGGCCGCGTAAATCAAAAGTTCGAGGGCGTATATAAGCGCGGACGAGCGGGGCGTAACGCAGCGAAAACGCGCGAACGGAATCGAGATCGAAGAAGCCAGGCTCGCTACGCGTATAATGTTATAACTGTTTTTCTGTCTCTGTTGCTTACCCATCATCGTGCGATTCAGGTTTGTTTTCTGTGTGTACAGCGATATCGCGTCATAACGATCGCGGGGTGTGGACGACGTGGAAATATCGCAAATGGCGACAATGGCGGTATGATAACAGCAGAAGATATGCATGCTACGAGTGATGAATGTATTAGGGATACAATATGTAGGAGAATTTTATTTATTCCTCGCGAATCGAAGCGCTCTCTCCCTCCCTCCCCCCCCTCTC